ACTTCCCTAAACAGTTGTCTTTTAAAAGTAAAATAGTTGCTTATTGCCTTGACATCTGCTGGGAGGACGTTCCAAAGGGCAGGAGTCACTACCGAGAAAGCCCTCTGTCTGGTTCCCTGTAACCTCACTTCTCGCAGTGAGGGAACAGCCAGAAGGCCCTCGGCGCTGGACCTCAGTGTCCAGGCTGGATGGTGTGGGTGGAGACGCTCCTTCAGGTATACAGGACCAAGGCAATTTAGGGCTTTAAAGATCAGCACCAACACTTTGAAATGTACGTTTTTGCCTGGTACATTTATGAACATTTAATTTATACCTTAGACCTTATAATTCTCATAACATCATCATCAATTATTTGTACCCCGCCCAGCTGACTGAGTGCTAAATAAAATCAGGAAGACTTCCTTTAGCTCAATTCTGAATAGGCTCAGCTAATGTACATCATTTTAGAACATGTCAGTTTGGGGGTGGGGGAATTATTATTCAGATGCCAATTCTGAATTTTGTCTGCAATATTATTATTATTATTTATATAAAACGTTTATCTCCCTTTACTACACATTTAGGACCTGCAAGCTTTCTTAGAAATCCCTTCATGTATTGATAAGGGAGGTTTTTAAAAAACAAAACCACTTTTCAACACTGTGTCATGGTAGTACAAACAGGAAATTGGTACTGCTCTTTTGTCCCACAGAATACTGAATTGTTCATGTATGACAACCATGAAACATTAAGCTGCGTCTGGGTTTTCATTCCAGTTTAATTCACTTTGCTACCCTTCAGTGACTGGCTTTGAGGAGGAAGCCACATTTACAAAGAAACAACACTACCAATGTTGCTTAAGAGTGTCTTGTTCAAAAACTATAACCGGAGACGCTTTTTCACAGTATCATAATGAGAACACATCAACAAACAACAGATCAGCTGTCTTTTTTTTTCAGAGGGCCTGTAAAAGGTTCCTCTGTTTTGTAAACTGGTTTTTTTTACTTAAGGGCACATCACAAGACTTTCCGACTGAATTCCTCTTATTAAGCTTGCTTGTTTCTTTTTAGATCAAAGATCCAATTTCTTGTTCCAGCAACTAGTTGCGGCGGGAGAGGCGGCTAGAGTCTTTGCTGGACTCAGGTAGTGTTGTAGCAATGGGGTATAGCCTTGAGCGATATTTTTCCCCTCAAGTTTTTCTCAAATACAACTTTGATCACTGAAATATCGATGCTTCCTGCAGAAATAATTTCCTGTCTTTTGCGAAGACTGTAAAAAGCAATGGTTATTCTACAGGCCAGACTTTGTTCTTCTGTACACAGCCATCAGGACTGGGCCATAGGCAGCCAAGCGCATGGGAAGTCAATGTGCCAATCTTGGCAGGATGGAGCACAAACAGCGGGGGTGGGGGTGGGAAATGAAAAAGAAGGTCAGTCCAGGGGCAGGGGGAAATGCAGAACAGATTCTGAGCCAAAAGGTCTGTCCAAAGGATGCGTTGTGCAGGCATGCTAGAATGAGCAAACGGTTGTACAGCAGCAGGCAGTTAGTTATGCAAGAAACTAGATAGGGAAGGGCAGCCAACTCCCGAAAGCCCCAGCCAATATGGCCAGTGGTCAGGAATGATGAGACTTCTGGAGAGCACAAGGTTAGCTACCCCTGGGATGGGGCATCAGGCAGATTGGGAGGGAAGCATGAAGACATGCAAGACACACAAGGCTGGCTGACAGGCAGCAACATTTGATACCCATCAACTGCCCCAGAAAAGCCAGGACATCCTGTTTTTTCCTGTGCGAGCACAGCAGCCTTTTGGGGTGCCTTGCGATCATACAATTTCAGGCTGAGTTCTGGCCCCGAAAAAGTGCTTTTTCTGGGTCCGCAATCTCAAGTGGGTCACATGACTCATGCAGGATTTCGGACCTGGAAGATGGTGTCCCAGATTTGGGCTGCATCATGTTGGAGGGTATGACATCATCCTATGACTGTAGCCACTTAAATTCTACTATGTTTTTAAACGATTCTTTATGGTTTTGTTACAGGTGTGGGGAACCTTTTGTCAGCCTGAAGACCACATTTCCTCATGAGCAACCTTCCGGGGGCACAGGTCAGTAGTGGTTGAAGGCCAGAGGAAAAAATGGACGGAACAATGAGTGTTATTTTTAGCTTTGTAAAGTAGGCTGTTTGGGAAAGATTGAGGGCACAAGGAGAAGGGGATGACAGAGGACGAGATGGTTGGACAGTGTTCTCGAAGCTACCAACATGAGTCTGACCAAACTGCGGGAGGCAGTGAAAGACAGGAGTGCCTGGCGTGCTCTGGTCCATGGGGTCACGAAGAATCGGACACGACTAAACGACTAAACAACAACAACAAACAACAACAAAGTAGGCTGTGTTCCAGGTCAGAAGGTTCTACACACTCACACACACATTTCTCTATCCAGTGAAGGAAAAGTTATTATCACAGTTCAAGGATATGCAACAACCAGGCAAAAGCACTCAATGGGGGGACATGGTGTGAGATGAGGATATATGGTTTAGAGTGGGGTGTGTGTGTGTGTACTGAGCAGACTCTCAAGGGCCAGATAGAAAGCCCTGGAGGGCCACACTTGAGGTTCCCCACCCCTGTTTTATAAGTCACTATGGTTATAGTTTATAGAAAAGCATGGTAAAAATACAGCAAACAAATATCTGGAGCAAGATGATGATGCTATTGGAAGGCTGATTTTGCAGTTGCCAAGAGAAAGACTCAGACTAGGTCAAAAGGACTACTATGAATAGTCTACCTGGGGTATAGCACTACACTAGGATCTAAGGAAACAATACCTGCCCCTTCTTCCTTCACTGTGCACACCTGAGTAGCTTACCTAAAAAGAACACAGTGCTTAGATAGGGAGGTTGAGCACAACATTAGCCCACAACCCAATTCGTACCAAATTTACTGAGAGGTAAGCCCCACACTGATTTAAACAGAACTTGCATGCCTGGCATTCCAGTCGTTACTGCAGATACCTAGCAGTAAAACATTATCACGTACACTGATCAGAGAGATACTTTCAATTCAAAGTGTAATTAACATGCCAACTCATTTCTGTTAAGGAGGGCTTCACTGGAAAAGAAAATGAGAAGATACAGCAACATCCCAAATTGTTACTGCCATTATCCTAGCATCTATTTCTGTGCGATCTTTCCAATTTCTGATTGCTATATTGATTTTAAGCAGTCCTGGGGCTTGTCTGCAGCAATGAAAGTGACAGTAATTATTCAGGAAAGTTCATTCATCAGAATACAAGCATCTGACTCACCAGACTTGCCTTGTGACTCCAGTTAGAAGAAGAAGAAGAAGAAGAGTTTGGATTTGATATCCCGCCTTTCACTCCCCTTCAGGAGTCTCAAAGCGGCTAACATTCTCCTTTCCCTTCCTCCCCCACAACAAACACTCTGTGAGGTGAGTGGGGCTGAGAGACTTCAAAGAAGTGTGACTGGCCCAAGGTCACCCAGCAGCTGCATGTGGAGGAGCGGAGACGCGAACCCGGTTCCCCAGATTATGAGACTACTGCTCTTAACCACTACACCACACTGGCTCTCTGTTAAAACCACAGAAGGCTTTTCAGCCGTGGAACTGCATTAAATTCTTTGAAACACATTTTTTTTAGTTCATATATATCCCTGTTTTGTAAATAGGAGAAATTATCTGCTGTGAATTTGGGAACTATTTTACCCTTAATGTACTTCAAAAACATTAATTAAATTATTAAAAGGGAAACTCTGTATGTACCAGCACCAATTTTAGAATTAACATTTCACAGAGGAAAGATGATGCAAAATGCAAGACGAATTTAACAAATAAACTGAATGACATTTTAGGTATCTTTAGGATTTCTGTCTTTTGCATGTGAAAAAATGTATTTTGTCATACCTTATTCAACAGTGAATGCAAAACATCTAAACAAAATAGGTTATTGCTCTCCTACATTCAATATTTGGACAGCTATTGCTGGTAGTAACAAGAGATTGTAAAAAAAATCTGTAGAAAAACACATTTAACTACATCCGCAAAGCCTATATTTAGAATGCATAGTTAAATTTAATTTAGGCACCAGATTTTGAGATATCAGTTCATTGTGGGAAGAATTCCATTGAAGACTTTGACTTGTTATTTTGTCTTTATTACCATAAACATATCTTACAGGACGGTCCTATAGATGTCTACTTAGAAGTAACTTTTATCAAGTAAGTATGTATAGGGTTTCAGCTTAGTGCTGCAATCCGATACATACCGTACTTATCTAAAAGTATGCCCCATTGGACTTACTTCTGAGTAGACACATAGGACTGTGGTGTTAAAGATGTGTGTTCAGAAAAATAACATCATATGGATGTGTATATATTTCTCCATGAAGCATGCACAGTTGCAAAACCTGAAAATTAAGGTCTCTTGACCAAAATTGTTGCTATGTTTTCAGAAATAACTCAGGGGAAAACTGCTCCAACTGCCACTTGTAGGTAAGTAGAAGAATATACATTTTAAAATAAATTTTGAAAGCTTTAAAAATAAAATAAAAACAGTATAGAAAAACAACTGAATGTGCCGTGTTATGCAGACACAGTATTATTTTAGTCTTGTGATTCCATTATGCATTTTAAAAAGTGCTGTATGGCAGATTGTATTTGAAACATGATAAAGCAAGTGTTTTTGTTAATTTGTTTGTTAAATATACAAGAATCAAGAAAAGTCTTTGGCATATTTTGCCTATATTTGAAGGCTTGAAGAAGAAAGGTTATTGTGAAAATGTAAAAACATGACTGGTCAATTCACTAGTGGAAATAAAAACAAGCAACAGCAAATTTACAAGGTTAATCTAACGAATCTACTAAACGTTCACACCTTACGTGCATTTCTATATAGATATACGCTTCCACAGCTTGTCCTTTGCGGGTCTCATAAATTTCAATAGGACTTACACAACAGAAATTCCCAATGATTTTTGGCTTATTCTTGGCATTTTAAAATATTTTAAATATGACTAACCTGGGTGCAGTTTGTGCTGTAGTTGAACACGGTTTTTGTCTTGAAGGGTGCTTTTTTCAAAGTCGTCCTCACTGGCAGCTTGATGTAGCCCTGGTTGTCTCACAGAAAGTCCGGGATGTCCAAATTCAGAAAACCTGAGTTGCAACTGTGCTTCAAAATCTTTGCCCAATGAGAAATTTGTAGTGGAATGTCTTGAACGGCAATCATCACTAGCGCCAGACTCTTCTTCAGTGTCAAGCATGGGCAATGGAAGTATTCTGTGGTGTAGCTGTGGGCTAGGCAGACTTGAGGATAAAGGAGAAGGAAGAGGCGACATCTGTTTGTATGTATTGGACAGTGGATAGGAATTATTAAAAACATTGCTAATTGCTACTAAGGACGGAGACAGTGGCCTTTTATCTTCCTGTTTAATGATGGTCCTTGCCTGGCAAGTATCAGGATTCAGATTTGTTGACAGGTGTAAAGACAAATGCTTTTTGTCCTCCTGGGGTACCGTAGCTCTTTTCTCATATACCAAGCCTGCTGGGCTTCTGTCTGCTCTTGTAACAGCCTGTAATCGCTTCCATTCTGCCGTTTCATCCAATCTGTCATACTGTGTAACTTTCAGTAAGGTTTTATTGATGACTCCCGCTAGACTACACGAGTCGTCAATAACATGGTCTTGTTCTCCTTTATGTTGTGGAAGATAGCCTTTCTGCTCTTTCTCCTGTGTGACAATGGCGAAACCAGAACCGACTGATTCTTTGCTCCCCTCACTTGAGGCATAAGGTACTTTGCAGTATTCCACAGAGGCGCGTTCAACGTTCTGCAGGTAGCATTCAGAGACTTCCGCTTTTGGGACGCCTCCAACGTGAGGCTTGCTTTTGCAGTTTCCTGCAATACGCTCATAACCGTGCACCATTTCAGAGGCTGAGGTCTTCTCAAAAGCCTCAGATTCATTGGTTGACGTTCCCTGGAAAGAGGTCCGCGATGGGCTGCTCTGCTGCACCTGGATCCCTTTAAGGGTGTCCTCTACATCATCTAGCAGACTATGGCTGTGTGCAAAACAGTGTCCAAACACATCATTGTCGTACTCAGAGAAAGAAACAGAGAGATCCGTATCAGACCCCAAAGCCCGGCTGTTCTCAAGCAAATACCACTCTCTCCTTGATCCTTCTGCTAGTTTATTCACATCTGATGATAAACCATCTTTGTCTTCCACCTTCTCCTGACGAGAACATGCAAATGAGCTGGAATATTTGGCAGAAAGAAATTTATCATTTCCCAACAACATTGCTTTGCTGTTTAATGCTGGCGGCTCCAAAACGCCAGGTGTCTTCCTTTTCATTTTCTTGTTTATGAAGTCCTCAATGCTCTCTCTCCGTTTGCTGAATCTCCTCGTTTTTTTGTTTTTTGGAGTGGACCTCTTCTCCATAGATCCCGAAAGAGACTCTTGTTGATCCTTGAAACCCTGTCTGCCATCATGGCTATATTTCAGGCTTTCAGAAATGTCTTGCAGCTTCCCTTCCTGGTTCCCCATTTTAACACCTAGAATGTGGCTTGAGCTAAGGAGAGTAGCCAACAGCCTCTCCTTCTCAGCATTCAGTTTATACAACTCAGTGAGAATATCCTTAGTAGTTGTTTGCTTGAAGAAGATGTCTCCAATGTTTTCACAGGTCTGCCCTCTCGATCCTACTGCCTCCGAGCCTTCGCTCACTCGATAGCAGCGATGATAATGTTTGCTGGATTTGTCCAGAGTTACACAGCCCTTGTATGTGAACCCTCTGACTTTCCCCTTTGGGAGATAGAAGCTGACGTAGCAAAGCTCCATAATGGGTCTGTGCAACTGGAGGACAGTATAAGTGCCTTCCATTGTGTTTGACTAATTATTTAATTTAAATTATGAGGTCAGTATTTCTAACCTTGCATGACACACCATGTGATGCAAGGAAAGTAGAGGAGGCATCTGACTAATCTTCTACAGTAACATTTCCTGTTGAAAAGAAGAAGAAAAGCTTGTCAGAAAGATGTTATCCTCCCGACAATTTTTTTAAAAAAACAGAACAAAAACAAGTATCTAATCTCCTTCAAAATATAATCCAAAATACCAGCCTGTCACAAGAACTGTGACGCATATGAGTTATTGGTCACATTGCTAGAAAAAACACATACCGTACTTCAAACTTTTAGCGTGTTTCTGAACTATGTTACTATTTTCTTATGGATCTGCTAAACATTAACAAACTGCTTGGCCAATGGAATATGGTTGAAAAGATTTCTCCCAACATAACTTTGTATTTGTACTGTAATAGGTCTATAGTTCAGTGGTATCTCTGCATTTAGAAGGTTCCAGTTTCAGTCCTAGACATCTCCAGATCGTGGTCAGAAAGACTTCTGTTTGAAATCCTTGCAAGTTGCTACAAGCCAAAGTAGATAATACTGAGCAAGATTTGACATAATGTTCCTACATACTGAACCAGTAAACACTCTAAGATACTAGATTACACTATTGAAAGTTCAAATACTGGTGTAAATATTAGTATGAAATAAAACACATCCAAATAAATTAATAAAAGTAAATAAAACAATTTCAATTTGCATGTAATCCTATATATATATATATATATATATATATATATATATATATATATAACATTAACAATCTATTAAAAGTTGAGTGTTGCACCTAAGAGTCCATTCAGATGCCAGAGCTTCCATCCAATTTTCTAATGTTCCTTTCATACTGCAAGACCTGCTGTACTATGGAACAGTGGGTTTGGGGTTGATATAGACCCATACTATGCTAAATTTTATTTACCCTAATGGGTATGGTGTGACACAATAGGTAAAGGACCGATGGATGGTTCAGTCAAAGGTGACTATGGGGTTGTGGCATTCATCTTGCTTCAGGCAGAGGGAGCCAGCGTTTGTCCACAGACAGCTTTCTGGGTCATGTGGCCAGCAGGACTAAACCGCTTCTGGCGCAACAGAACACCGTGACAGAAACCAGAGTGCACAGAAACACCATTTACCTTCCCACTGCAGCAGTACTTATTTATCTACTTGCCCTGGCATCTTTTCAGACAGCTAGGTTGGCAGGAGCTGGGACAGAGCAACAGGAGCTCACCCCGTCATGCGGATTTGAACTGCCGACCTTCTGATCGGCAAGCCCAAGAGGCTCAGTGGTTTAGACACACCACCACCCGCATCCTCCTGTGACACAATATCATCACAGGACAATGTCACCACTAACCCCATGAAAACAGCAGGAAAGAACTGTATACTGCCCCAGATCTCATCACTTTACTCCCATGATCTTCTGAGTTAAAGGGGCTGCAAAGGGATTTTTTCTGGAAAATGTGCATTAAAAATGTGCTATATTCCATTAGTTTTCTAGAAGTGGCTTTTACTCATGTGAAAGCTCAGTTTTAATGCAGAAATTAACAGCTAGGGAAATGTCAGAAAAATAGACCAAACTGCCATGTGAACGAAGCCGTAGCGAATGTTATTCTGAGAAGTCAAGCACTGAGTATCTCTGCTTTGTGCTCAAGAAGAGCACTTTATATGGAACTTTCCTAATACAGAGTTCTGTCCAACAAAGTTGTCCCATTGCAGGGGGTTGGACTAAATGGTCCTTGGGGTTCCTTTCATCTCTACATTTCTACGAACCTATTATCAGTGCAAGGACTTCTGCCTGTATAGGAGGACTTGCTCTCCCTGTGCTCTCCAAAATCTGTTCTAGATTGTTCCTCCAACTCTCTAGGGCAGATTTTTTTTTGGGGGGGGGAGGTATAGAGATGGGAGGGAGAGGAAGTGCCTCTGTGCACATATAAATAGCATTTCTCCTAAGTGTTCAATGTTATTCATCCATATTAATATCACATTCCACAAACTGTGAGGGGATACTGTTTTCTTAAAGTAGGTTACCAAAGGCCACCCAGTGAGATCTTTGCATAAAACCAAATTGAAGAAGAAGGAGAAGGAGAAGAAGAAAGAGCTTAAAATACAGTGGTACGTCAGGTTACATACGCTTCAGGTTACAGACTCCGCTAACCCAGAAATAGTACCTCAGGTTAAGAACTTTGCTTCAGGATGAGAACAGAAATCGTGCTCCAGCGGTGCAGCGGCAGCAGGAGGCCCCATTAGCTAAAGTGGTGCTTCAGGTTAAGAACAGTTTCAGGTTAAGAACGGACCTCCAGAACGAATTAAGTTCTTAACCCGAGGTACCACTGTATATAAATGGGAAATCGGCATGATTTACAAAGCTTTTAAGCTCAGTTTTATATTATTTAGCACAGAAAACATTTGTTTCTAAATGTGGATTTCAACCAAAACATTTATTGCCTGTTTTTTGCTTTCATATCTAGTTTGACATACTGTACTGTATTATTGATAAGAGTATGATAGATGAGTGTGTACTAGCAGCACTGCGGAAGCTAGGAACACAGTGATTACATTATGGCTCTTTCTAATTTAATTTAACCATGCTACATGCATAATATGCTCAATTCCAGTTCCAGGTCATTTTGGCGTACACTGTTCAATATGCTCTTTCTTTCTCGAGCAACAGCAAAAGCAACAGGCAATTGCTTTTACCATGTACAGTACTTATGAAACATCTGACAAGATCATACATCTCAATAGGATTTTGACAAATGTGATGCAAAAAGATCATGGTTTCCCATTTCCATAATTGTCAGTACTGCTAGTTCCCTGGAAAATGCCCTTGCTTTTCTTTCATATACAAAATTATCTAGATGTTTCTCTGTTTTTTACAGCTGCCCAATTTTTCTGTGAAAATGACAGGAATTTAGGAGCACACCCTATTTAACTGATGCAGTACCTCATACAATCTGGCCAACAGATATCTGCACTACTTTTAAGCGGGGAGCCTGTGGCTTTACAAGTGTTATTGGATCACAGATCCCACCATCCCTGACTGCTGGTTGGGGCTCATGGGAGTAGGAGTCAAAGAGCATCAGAAATGCCACAGGAGGAGCTCTGTGCTAACTACTTAGGCTGCACAATCTCCAATACAGCTTAAAGTCTATCCACATGCAACGTCATTGGAGTCGGACAATGTCCAAAATTAAAAGATGTGTAATAAAAATGTAAGTGCTATTTATAAGGGCCATCTTGTGCTGAATGCTGAGCCTGTGTATAAGCTTGACCAAATCACACATTCTCAAGATGATTCACGGTCTATAATATGGAAGCATACAGAAAAACAATTCTTCTCAGTACTTAACCCGTGAAGGACAATAATATGTCATGTGGCTAATTCTTGTTGCTTAGGCAGAACAACCAATCAGGGCTAGAAATTATTATGGAAACCGATAAGGCAATCAAGCATGTTCTTTTGCTAGAGTCTAATAATGCAACTGAAGAAAATTCCTTGCACAATCAATTATCTTCTTGTTGTTATATGATGCAGCACCCAGACCCCTAAACTATTTCAAGGTACATAGCATAATTTATTCCTCTTGCCCTCCCCCAAATACTGATGTGCTTCCAGATGGGGTAGCACTAGAAGCTGTCATTCAGGGCTCTTCTACTGTAAACTACATACAGAGTTACAATTCCTTTCCCACACTTCAAGGGTTATAGGGCTTTGTGTGTGTGCTTATGTACATTCCACTATTTTCCATCCACACTACGGAGGGAGACACAGCTGTGTGGGTATGGAAGAGGCAGTTCCCCTGACCATACTGGTTTTTTTAAAAATCAATTTGATCAAATTTCAAAAATTATACCAATGTAGTTTTATTTAGGCTCTCTTGTCCACTTGATTTAAATGTTTGGGTTTGTGGTTTTTTTTTTTTGAAGTCTGGATCCAACCAATTATGTTTGTCCACTCTCTTACATAAACTTATTTGAAATTTATTTAATTATGCATTAAAGCTCTAATGATGCTGGGAGAAGATATTTTATCTGGAGACACCTACTATTATCCTCTCTTTATTTAAAAATATTTATAAACCGCCTTCCCACAAGACAGCATCAAAATAACTAACACGCATGAAACAGCCTTCAAGCTGACATGCAAAATAAAACAATTTGCCAAAAATAAAAACAGAAGAGGTGCCAAGCATTTTTCTTCAAGGAGGCTTTTCCATAGACTGGGTGTCACCCTGATAACTACCTACGTAGGTTTCATAAGTGGGGAGGTCCAGAGCAGAGCCTCATAGCAAGCCTTCAAAATCCTGCAAAAACTTTAGCTCAGTGGTTCCCAAACTTTCCCCTCCACACACATAAACCACTTGAAAATTCCTTAAGGTCTTAGTGGACCGCTTACTAATATTCTTCTGCCTGATGTGGCCATTGTGCTAGATGTTATATGATTTTTAACTGCATTTTTATTTCTTCTTTTATTTCCAACATTGCATTTTATTGTATTGCAATTTAATTTCATAACATTTAAACTATATGTGTTATTCACAGACGTGACACAAACCACCGGAATGAAACTAGTGAACCACTGGTTTGGGACCACACTTTGGTGGTCCTGCTTTAGTGTTTGGCCACTGCAGGCTTTATAGGTCAACACCAGTGATTTGGAGAGAAAAAATGGGTAAAAGAGAAGAAATGCTGGCTTTTGAGAGGAAATGCTGTTCTATCACTTTTCCTTTCTTTTGACCAGAATCATTATGGCTCTGGTCAGATGTTACTTTTTAAATGTGGTTTCGGGGGAAGTGGGTGTCAGGCTTTTGGATAATATTACGTTGTTCTCATTCACTCTCTTCCCAGCCAACTGCTGGTCTAAGCTTACATCAAAGGATTCCTAGTTTTAATTATTAGAGCAGAACTGTTCAAGGAAGAAGAAATAAAACT